ACGAAGAGTGCCCAGCAGCGAGCACACAGGCACGGACAGGCCTGCGGTATGGTGCGCACGCGCGCGCACACACACACACACACACACACAGAGGCAGGCTCAGGCAGGGCCCCGCACAGACGTCTGTGCTGTTACTCTGTCACTCTGGAGGTGACCCCAGGCACCAGGGCTCTTAGATCACTGTTCACACTGTTCACAGCACTGAGCACGGACCAGCTCATGTACACACAGCCCATGTCTGTCACATGCGTGTCCCCATTTTTGAGCTGATGCCTTCTGCTTTGGCCAGGAGACCCTTGTGTGCCCAGGTGCAGGCCTAGGTTAGAGTCGCCAGGCTAAGCTCTCTCGACTTGTGGACGAGGGAGGCCCAGCTCCCCCCAAGCAGCCCCGTCCCTCTGGCAGCTCTTGCTGGGCTGGATTTTCCTGCAGGGCTTTTGGATTTGTTTTTGAGCCACTTGTTGAGTGTTGGTCGTGTGCCAGACACCATGCCACCCTGAGATAACGTGTGCAAAGTTGTTTTGAAGAAAGCTCCCGGTAAATGCGGGTTATTATGTATATTATTATTTACATACATAATCTCATTTCTTCTCATAACAACCCTATGAGGCAAAGCGCTATTATTTTACCCATTCGACAGATAAGAAAGCGAGGCTCTCAGAGGTTAAGTGGCTGGTCCTGGTAGCACGCAGCTAGTAGGTGGCAGGAGCTGGGTTTGAACCCAGGTCTCTGGCTGCAGTCTTCACCCTTAATTTCTGCCTCTTGAGACTCCCAGTTGGGAAGCCAGCCCCACTGGCCAGGCCCGGTGAGGTCTACCAGTGGAAGGGGGCCCACGGGGCCAAGGCCATCAGCACACCATGGCTTTGCGCCTGCAGCTCAGGGCGGAGGGACGAGGACAGGAGTGGCGGGGACCCCCAGCATGGGAACGCCTGGGGTAGAGGGCCCCTGGCCCGCTCTCCAAGGCACGTTTCCGCTTTGCATCCTTTGGTCACTTCATTTACTGTACACCCAGCGCAGGAGGAGTCTGGGGATCTTGAGAAGCTGGCTTGTTTGGAGGGCTGGCCTGAACCCCGGCGTCCCTCCAGCACGGCCGTGCCGTCTGCAGGCCCCTTGGCAGGTTTCCACCTCCTCGCCCAGGCCGCCACCTGGGGCCTCGGCTTATCTCTGACTCCTGGCATTTCTGTGCTGGACGGATTCCAAGGGCAGCCTGCTGCTCAGACTAAATAGCACCTGCCCAGGTGGAAACGCGCCTCTGCCGGCAGATTCACACTGGTCCCGGCTTTCAGAAAACTTCGTGGAGGACGCAGAAAACAAGGAGGGGCCACAGCAGCTCTTTGTCCTGGTCTCACGGGCTGCTCGTGGCACGCCTGTTGAGTTATTTTCTCATCCTCCCGGTAACGTGTATGAGGAAGCTGCAGCTCAGTGAGGCGATGTGTACACTGCCCCACGGAAGGGCCTGCTTGGTGCTTCTCGAAGTGTGGTCCCCGGGCCGCCGACTCAGGATCACCTGCGAGCTGGTAAAACTGCATGTTCTGGGGCCCTGTCCCAGACCGGCACGTCAAAATCTCTGGAGGCAAGCCCAGAGGCTGGGGCGTCCGCCCTGTGCTTTGCAGGCCGGGGGCTCAGGAAGGAAGCCTCCTGGGCTGGCGTCCTGCCCGAGCTCCTTTGTTGCTGTGGGGCTTTGTACAAGTTGCTTCAACTCTCTGAGCCTTGCTTTTTTTTTTTTTATTTTTTTTTTGAGACAGAGTCTCACTCCGTTGCCTGGGCCAGAGTGCTGTGGCGTCAGCCTAGCTCACAGCAACCTCAAACTCCCTGGGTCTACAGGCATGTACCACCATGCCTGGCTAGTTTTTTCTATATATTTTTAGTTGGCCAATTAGTTTCTTTCTATTTTTAGTAGAGACGGGGGTCTCGCTCTTGCTCAGGCTGATCTCGAACTGCTGACCTTGAGTGATCCGCCCGCCTCGGCCTCCCAGAGTGCTAGGATTACAGCCGTGAGCCACTGCGCCCTGCCTTCTCTGAGCTTTGATTTCCTCATCTGCAAACTGGGAATGACAGCAGTACCCACCTCAGCGTTATGGGGGAGGCAGGGAGTTAGCATCTGCGGCGGGCTGAGCACAGCACCTTCCCAGCGGAGTGCACCTGTGGGCGCCAAGGAGAAGGGTCTCCTTAAAGGTGGCGGGTTTTCTCCAGGGCGGGGCGCAGGAGCACAGGCTGCTTGTTCCAAAAGGCTCATTGGTTCGTGGCGTAAAGTACGAGCAATGTGAGGGGCCCGGTCTGTTGGGAAACTTTCTAACCTGGAGAAGTGGGAGGTCAGTACTGGGAGCTTCGCCTGGGCCTCCCAGCGCGGAGTGCCGAGAGGAAGTGGTGTGGGGTGAGGAGCCGGGGGTAGAGGCCTGGAGTCCCATGATTCGGGGCTTCTACAAAGAGAGGCTCTTACTGGTTTAAAGAGAGTCACCTTCGGACTGTGGTCACCTTGGGTGGTCTCGGACTATGGGCAGGGCTTTCCCCCATGAGCCCAGCGCAGCCCCACTTCTAGCTGGTTCCAGAGTGGGACGAGACCCCTCCAGCTGCGGAGCCAGACACGTTCCCCATAAACTCCTGTGCTGACCCCGTTGGTCACCACCTTCCCTCACCAGGGGATGTCCTGAGGAATGGCCCTGGGACCCTGTCATGCTGTTGGTTGGTGAGGTGCCGTCCGCCCCGCCCCAGCAGGTCTGCTGGGAAGCCCCGCCTGAGGGCTTCCTTGGGCACCGGCTGCCAGTAGGCATGCACCTCCTGGATGGCCAGGACGAAGTAACTTCATTTCTCTTTTTGCTTTGGCCACTGGGAGGCCCAGCACTCCAAGCGCAGCCCGTAGCTGCGCGAAGATCTGACCGGCTGGCGTGAATCGTTTCTTCCTTGACAGTTTAGGTGTTCCCTTCAGATGTGTTCTCTCTCCACTCCTGGTTGTGATGTTGCTGTTTCACTACTTTCTTTTCTTTGTGTTTCCTTGCCCGTGGTGGAACCAGGCTGGGGGTACGTAAACACCCTTGAAATCGTCCTCACAGCTGCTTGGTTGGGCATGTTGCACTCTCTGCCTCCTCGGCTTCACAAGACCGTGTTTGCGTGTGTGGCCGTGACCCACTGGCAGCTGGATGCGCCTGGGGTCGGCCAGGGCGGCTGCTCTTGCTTGTTTTTCTGTTCTCATCCGCTGCTTAGAATTTTTAAAATAATTTCTCTCCAAACCCATTAGTTACTCAAAGCATAATCAGTACTCTGGTAGATATGTAGGGTATTTCTTTTTTTTTTCCCTTCCTTCTAATTTATGTGTTTCACGTTACATGAGTATAACCTGGTTACCATGGAATCCCAAAATGGTAACAAGTGAAAAGGAAAAAAAAAAAGTTACCCATCCTACCAGAGATTCCACATTTCAGCATTTCGTGATACATCCTTCTGAATTTTTTTCTGTGTTTATATTTTTCCCACAAAAACTAGAATCTGACCATACACACTATTTATTTTATAACCTTCATTTTCACTTGGTGGTGGATAATTAGTGTCTTTCCTTGTTATTGCCTATTCTGCAACAAAGAAAAATATTTACAGTTTGTATCAAGGATGCACGCACTGCTTTGTTGCCCAGGCTAGAATGAGTGCTGTGGTATCAGCATAGCTCACAGCAACCTCAAACTCCTGGGCTCAAGCCATCCTCCTGCCTCAGCCTCCTGAGTAGCTGGGACTACAGGCATGCACCACCATGCCCGGCTAATTTTTTCTCTATATATTAGTTGGCCAGTTAATTTCTTTCTATTTATAGTAGAGATGGGGTCTCGCTCTTGCTCAGGCTGGTTTTGAACTCCTGACCTCGAGCAATCCGCCCGCCTCGGCTTCCCACAGTGCTAGGATTAAAGGCATGAGCCACCGTGCCCGGCCTGTTTTTGCAAGTGTGGAATGGTTTGCAAAAACCGTCTCAGTCGCCCCCGGCCCTAGGCCTTTCTAAAAGGGACAACTTTTAATCATGCAGCGTCCGTGTTCTGCCGTTGCTTCCTCCATATCTGCCAGTGAGATGCTCATCCCACTGTCTCTTGGCTCGGCTGACTCCCTGACTTTCTGAGGAAATAAGGCTTCCCGCCTCTCACAGCGCCCTCCCCGCCTCCTCCCAGCGCGGCTCAGCTGCCGCGCTGTGTTCCGTCACTGGTTGCCTCTGCAACTCAAAACAACACACTTCAACCTCTGTTCCTCTGTTTCTTGTTCCATTAGCCATTGACAGCGTCTTGTGACCCCCTGTGCTCTCAGGAGAAGACATTAGAGTCTCCACTCCTAACCGCCACCCCCCGTCATGATGTCTGTCTGTCGTATGTTCAAGTCCCTGGCGTCAGGGTTGATGGCTTTCCCGTTCTGTCAGTAGCCGTTGGTCTTCACGAGCGACTGTGGGGTGGTGCTCAGCACCACCATTGGTGGTGGCCATCGCCCACCGTCGCATTGCTCCGTGAGTGTGAGTCACGTTCACTGCAGGGCCGAGGAATGGGCTGCACTTACATCTCCTTCTCTTTGGGTCTAGTGTCACTCAAAGGAAAGTGTTCATTGTATTTTCCTTTCTCAATACCATGGGCCCCAAAACCACCACTTTACATTTTAGTTTGCTTCGTATTTTGACCATGTGCTTTTCTTGCTTGTCTTTCAGGCGTTTCTAATACAACATTTTTACCAGCTTCATAGTGTTCCATCGAATAGAGAATCATGATTTGTTTTCACCCAGTTCCCTATGGTTGGACTGACTCCCAATTTTTCATGAATGTGAATGGTGCTATAGTTAATGTTCCTTTACATCCATCTCTGTGTGTTGCTTCTTATGTGATGTCTGAGAGTCCAGGAATGCCATCCCCCTCCCCCGAGCCCCTTGCCACCCATTGCCTTGCTGACTTGCCTTCGATTAAACGGGCCTATTCTAGACGTTGGTGTGAGAGGCGTCTCGTGGGAGGCGTGGCCCCAGGTAACATCCATCTTCATCTCCCCAGGCTCTGAAGAGCGGCCCGTCCTCAGATTTGAAGCTGAGAACATCTCCAGCTACACGGCCCTCCTGCTGAGCAGGGATGGCAAGACCCTGTACGTGGGAGCCCGGGAGGCCCTCTTTGCTCTGAACAGCGACCTCAGCTTCCTGCCGGGCGGGGAGTACCAGCAGGTGAGAGATGTCGCCCAGGGCTGCCTCGCCGGGCAGAGGGTGGCAAAGGGAGGATGGACTGGAAGCTTGACCTGCTGGGTCTGAGGACGATGCAGATGGGAGAGGAGGGAGGCTCAGAGGATCTTCCATCGCGCTTGCACACTCACCTTCCCGTCTCGTCCGCCAGCTGCGGTGGAGCGCGGACGCAGAGAGGAAACAGCAGTGCAGCTTCAAGGGCAAGGACCCGGAGGTGAGCAGCCCCTGGAGCGAGCTGGGCTGCGGGAGGGATGGAGGACGGAGGCAGGAGGTGGGAACACATACAGCCAGGTGTGGTGGAAAGGACCTGGGCTTCTGAGATCACCAGACCTGGCTTGAATCCCAGCCCTGTACTTATTTTTCTTTTTCTTGAGACAGGGTCTCACTCTGTCACCTGGGCTAGAGTGCAGTGGCATCATCCCAGCTCACTGCAGCCTCAGACTCTGGGCTCAAGTGATCCTCCTGCCTGAGCCTCCTGGGTAGCTGTGACTATAGGCGTGCGCCACCATGCCTGGCTAATTTTTGTATTTTTTGTAGAGATGGGGTCTCGCTCTTGCTCAGGCTAGTAGTGTCAGACTCCTGAGCGCAGGCAGTCCTCCCGCCTCGGCCTCGCAAAGTGCTAGGATCGCAAGCATGAGCCGCCGCGCCCGGCCCCAGCCCTATACCTCTTATCTCCTTGGACCGAGATTCACCTCTCTGAGCCCTAGTGTCCCCGCCTATAACGTGGGGATAATGACGTCTGTCTCACTGGGCTTACAGTGAGGATTCAGTCAGCTAAAGGTGTAAGGCACTTGGCATATGATAAGTGCCGAATTAATTTATAGTTGATGAAGCTGGGCCTGACGTCCTCAGCTTCCAGCAGTGATTGGGTGGGGTGGGGGTTGTGTGCCCTGCAGATGGTCCTTGCTGTAGCGGGTCTGACAGATTCTGGTTTGGTTTTGGCCGAACCATCGGGTAGGGTTGGTCCAACCCAGGGCTCTCCTGGGGGACTCCCCACAATTCCCAGAGGCTGCCTGGTCCCTAGTGCAGCAGGTGGCAGCTAATGTGAAGGCAAAAGAGTGCCGGACTTGGGTCAAGACACGGGTTCGAGACCTGGCTGCCAATCCATTATTCATTTAACATTTGTTAAGCACTTGCTGTGTGTCCATGCACATGTGGGCACTGGTTTAATTGTGAAAAAGAAAAACCAGTAAAAAAAAAAAGTCGGCCGGGTGCTGTGGCTCACGCCTGTAATCCTAGCTCTTGGGAGGCCGAGGCGGGCGGATTGCTCAAGGTCAGGAGTTCAAAACCAGCCTGAGCAAGAGCGAGACCCCGTCTCTACTATAAATAGAAAGAAATTAATTGGCCAACTGATATATATATAAAAAATTAGCCAGGCATGGTGGCGCATGCCTGTAGTCCCAGCTACCCGGGAGGCTGAGGCAGAAGGATCACTCGAGCCCAGGAGTTTGAGGTTGCTGTGAGCTAGGCTGACGCCACGGCACTCACTCTAGCCTGGGCAACAAAGTGAGACTCTGTCTCAAAAAAAAAAAAAAAAAAAAAAAAGTCAATTTAAGAAGGTAATCAGTATAAAACAAGTGGTATTGAGTCAGGATGAGCAGGAGGTAGGGATGCCGGCCGTGGGCTCCACTCTGAGTGAGATATCTGGGAATCGAGGGAAGGGCTGAGCGGAGCAGGGATGTGGTCTCACGTGTGTTCTAAAAGGCTCGCTCTGGCTGTGGGCAAAGACGGTGGAAGGGAGACAGCCCGGCGAGGGGTGAGAGACAGACGGCAGTGGCTCAGAGCACGAGGATACCACTGCAGGGGGCGAGGAGTGGTCGGATTCCGGGTGTGTTTTGGAGGTGGAGCCTCCAGGAGTTCCGGATGGGAAACTGTGGGACGGGACAGACCAGAGGAGTCAAGGCTGACTCCAAGGTTTAGGGCCTCAGCGACGGAAACGAGGGGGTTGCTGTTAAGGAAAGTGGAGAGAGCTCGGGAAGAGCACGGCTTCCGGGGAATGGGCAGAGGCTCTTTGCAGAGATGATACAGGAGTCTGGGTTCAGGGTCCGGGATGAGTGTTTCCTCGCGTCCTGGGCTGTGGCTCCTCACCAGGGTGGTTGGGTGGGACCCATGGTTCTCACTAGGATTCTGAAGATAACCACTGAGCTGAGTGGCCTGGACAGCCCGAGAGGGTGGGATTCTGTGCCCTCACCTCCCAGACCAGAGGAAGTTTACCCGGCTGGGCCCCGTGGCCCCTGCAGCACACACAGCCTCCTGCACCCCAGGAGGCTCCCAGATTCTTGCTGGTCCAGGGAGCAGAGGCCCATCCCCTGGCCGGGCCTTGGGCCTGGTAGGGAGGGCTCCGCGCTGCCCCCTGGTGGTGTGCCTGGGCCTGACGTCCTCTTCCCTCTTTGTCCCTAGCGCGACTGTCAAAACTACATCAAGATCCTCCTGCCACTCAACAGCAGCCACCTGTTCACCTGTGGCACAGCGGCCTTCAGCCCCGTGTGCACCTATATCGTGAGTGCCTTCTTGCTGCCCCAGGGGGCTGTTCTTTAGCATGGAGCCCTGGTGAAAGGCAGGGCTCAAGGGGCAGCTTCTAGGTAGCAGTGGGCTCTGAGAGTCCTGAGGCCACCACCCTGGCACCCAGCCTGGCCCGACAGCGGGGTGGGGGCAGGGGCGGGGGAAGGGCAGGGACATGTAATCCCCCACATACAGACGTCTGTCCGGCCCACGGCTCGCTGTCCTCTCTGGCTTCCTCCAGCTTCTCCACCCTTCCTCTGCGCGATTCCCTCGTCTTACCTCGTACACCCCTCTTCGGCCCACACGCCCAGCGAGGCTGGCAGTCGAGGCAGTGGGTTTGGAGTCGGACATACCTGGGTTTCGGTCATGTCGCTGCCCCTCCCTGGCTCGAGTCACTCTGTGAGCCTCTCCTCCGCTGCCGGATGGGTCTGCTGATGCTGGCCACGTCGGGTCTCTGTGCGACAGGCAGCACCGTGTCCTGGGTGCTGGGGCGAGGAGGGCGGCCTCTCTGACACCTGCTCCTGTGTCCCCCACACGCCCCACCTGCCTGCAGAGTTGCCGCCTCTGGCACCTCCTCTCCTTCCCTGCTGAGCCCGTTCCCCATCCCCGGGCACGCCTGAGCCCGCCTGTCTGCTCCCCGCAGAACGTGGAGAACTTCACTCTGGCAAAGGACGAGGCAGGGAACGTCCTCCTGGAAGATGGCAAGGGCCGTTGTCCCTTTGACCCCAATTTCAAGTCCACGGCCCTAATGGTTGGTGAGTATTGAGGGCATCATGGGCTGACTCACTGAGGCTCTGTGTGGGGGCAGTCCGGGCACAGGGCCAGCCCCAGGCCGGAGCTGGTAGGTCCATGCCAGGCTGATTCCCAGGGGCGCAGAGTGGTCATGGGCTGGCTTCAGGTTTGGCTTTTCCAAGTCCCTGCTCCCTACTCCTCCCTCGTACCATCGACAGATGGGCAGTGCCGGGGTCACTCTGGGCCCTAAGCAGGGAGAAGGGGCTGTGCCCAGGGGGCCGTTGCCATTCCCTGGGAATGCTCTCTTGGCAGATGGCGAGCTCTACACGGGAATAGTCAGCAGCTTCCAGGGGAATGACCCGGCCATCTCCCGGAGCCAAAGCCCCCGCCCCACCAAGACCGAGAGCTCCCTCAACTGGCTACAAGGTGAAGTCCCCCTGCGGCCCAGCCAGCGGCCAGTCGCGGAGGCCCCAGGGAGGGTGCGCTCTCCCCCCGCAGGTCCTGTCTGTGGGGCTCCTGGGCTGACTGAGCCCCCCACTGGCCCCCACAGACCCAGCCTTCGTGGCCTCAGCCTACATTCCCGAGAGCCTGGGCAGCTTGCAAGGTGACGACGACAAGATCTACTTCTTCTTCAGCGAGACCGGCCAGGAGTTCGAGTTCTTTGAGAACACCATCGTGTCCCGCATTGCCCGCATCTGCAAGGTGAGGGGCCGGGCCATCAGGGCGGCCACCCCAGGGACCCCAGAGGCTCCGTGGCTGCAGGACCGCAAATCTGTGGCCTTCCCCATCCTCCAGAGAGGAAGAACTAGCTTAGTTCATGGCTTTCTCTCCTTTATTTTTTTTTATTTTTTGACACAGTGGCTCACTCTGTTGCTGGGGCTGGAGTGCTGTGGCCTCACCATAGCTCACTGCAACCTCCAGCTCCTGGGCTCAAGTGATCCTCCTGCCTCAGCCTCCCAGGTAGCTGGGACCACAGGCACGCGCCACCACGCCCGGCTAATTTTTCTCTTTCTCATAGAGACGGGTATTGATCATGCTTAGGCTGGTCTTGAACTCCTGAGCTCAAGCAGTCTGCCTGCCTCAGCTTCTCAGACCGTTGGGATTATAGGTGTTAGCCACTGTGCCTGGCCAATTCTCTCCTTTTAAATTAAAATATGTCTTCTTGGTTTTTTCTTAGAAAACGTGAATATAGAAATGTACACACAAAACCACTTACAAGTGGAAGAGGTAGTGTAGCATGGTGCTGAAGAGCACAGGCTGGGGCAGACTGCCTGGGCTCAAACCCTGCTGGTCGTGGGATCTTGGGCAAGTCCCTCAACCCTCTTTGTTAAGCAGTTTTTAATGCGTTAAATGGGAATAGTAACACCAGCCTGGCGGTCGTTAATCCGCGTAAAGCTCTCACAGACGTGGTCGGCAGTGACTGCACTAATAGTGTTGTGGCCCCCTTCACCCCACCACAAGAAGGGACCTCTGCTGACATTTTAGAATGTCCCTTTCTGGGCCGGGCGTGGTGGCTCACGCCTGTAATCCTAGGGAGGCTGAGGAGGGCGGATTGCTCAAGGTCAGGAGTTCAAAACCAGCCTGAGCAAGAGCGAGACCCCGTCTCTACTGAAAATAGAAAGAAATTAATTGGCCAACTAAAAATATATAGAAAAAATTAGCCGGCCATGGTGGCGCATGCCTGTAGTCTGAGGCAGAAGGATTGCTTGAGCCCAGGAGTTTGAGGTTGCTGTGAGTTAGGCTGATCCCACGGTACTCTAGCCCAGGCAACAGAGTGAGATTCTGTCTCAAAAAAAAAAATGAAAGAATGTCCCTTTCTGATCCTGTCATTGCACATGTGTAACTGTGTGTGTGTTTATATTACTGACTCCTTCACAAACATGAGCCGTGCTGCGTTGGGCTCCTTTGGCTTCCTTGTCCCTGCAGCGGTAACCACGGACACCTTTCCGGATTTAGACAGGCGCTGCCCGGTAGTCCCTGGTCAGGGCCCCCCTCCTGACGGGGCAAGTACAGTGCCCTCCAAGTTTTCTCGGTCTCAGACCCAGTCCTGGCTTTCGCTTGTCCTCGTTCCTGGTGTCCGTCGTCTCAGCTACTGCCGGGGAGGGGACGGGGCGGAGGTACCATGCCTCCACCTCGTGGCCCAGCCTGTGCCTAAGACCAGCCCCTCCCCGCAGGGCGACGAGGGCGGCGAGCGGGTGCTGCAGCAGCGCTGGACGTCCTTCCTCAAGGCCCAGCTGCTGTGCTCCCGGCCCGACGACGGCTTCCCGTTCAACGTGCTGCAGGACGTCTTCACGCTGGGCCCCAGCCCCCAGGACTGGCTCGACACCCTTTTCTACGGGGTCTTCACCTCCCAGTGGTAGGGCCCTGGACCGAGCTGGGGATGGGAGGGGGAAGGACGGCGGGACTGGGGCCGCAGAGCTTTGGGCCCAGCTGGCCTCTGCCCGAGTCCCCAGGGCTCTTGGGCAAATGCAGCCGTTTCCTTTGCAGGCACGGGGGGACCACAGAGGGCTCTGCCATCTGTGTCTTCACCATGAAGGACGTGCAGAGGGTCTTCAACGGCCTCTACAAGAAGGTGAACCGCGAGACGCAGCAGTGGTACACCGAGACCAACCCGGTGCCCACGCCGCGGCCTGGAGCAGTGAGTGCTGCCTGCGCGCCAGGCCCCCCGCAAAGCACCGCTTCTCTGCTTCTGTTTGCGCATGTTTAAAATGCGGACATAGGCCGGGCGAGGTGGCTCACGCCTGTAATCCTAGCTCTCTGGGAGGCCAAGGTGGGCGGATTACTCGAGGGCAGGAGTTCAAAACCAGCCTGAGCAAGAGCCAGACCCCGTCTCTACTATAAATAGAAAGAAATTAATTGGCCAACTAATATATATAGGAAAAAAAAAATTAGCTGGGCATGGTGGCTCATGCCTGTAGTCCCAGCTACTCGGGAGGCTGAGGCAGGAGGATCGCTAGAGCCCAGGAGATTGAGGTTGCTGTGAGCTAGGCTGACGCCACGGCACTCACTCTAGCCTGGGCAACAGAGTAAGACTCTGTCTCAAAAAAAAGGGGAGGGGGGACATACGTGCAGGCCTGCTTGCCTTCCCGGGTCAGCGTGTCCTCGTCAGGGCACTTGCTGCGCGCTGTCGTAATCCTCCCTTTACTTGGTCCACTGCCCCACGAGCTGTGAACTCGTACTTAGTGTCAAGTGGCTGGATGAGCAGGCCTCGGGGCAGTAGTCCTGCTTTCCTGCAAGCCTCGCGGGCCCCTCTGAAAGCGGGCCTCGAGCCGGGCGTGAGTGCCGGTGGTCGTGCACGCGGGAGGCGATGCCAGGACTCCACGTGGGGAGCTGGGAGGGCTGAGCGAGGGAGGGAGGAAAGCCAGGAAAGGGCGTGCCAGGGAGCTGCTCCTGGGGTCCACGTGGGGCACACCCCAGCATGTCAGGACGCCCCAGGCAGCTGCGCTGGGGCACGTGCTCAGCCAGGGCTTCCTGAGCGCGGGTGGAGGGTGCTGGGCGGCGGGAAGCGTGGTCCTGGCGCTCGAGGCCTGTGTGTGAGGGTGAGCGGTGGGGGCAGGCGGGGCACAGCGAGGAAGCCCTCCGAGCCCCAAGCCCCACAGCCTGGGCTTTGCCGTGGCCTCCCCACCAGCGCGCTGGCTCTGTGGGGCTGCCGGGGCTGCGTCATGGCTCCCGAGTGGGGCAGATGCTGCCGGCACCTGCTGGGGGGGTCGGGCCTCCTGATCCGCTTGCGGTCCCCAAGTGTCGCTGGCCTCACGCCACCACCTTCTCCCTCAGTGCATCACCAACAGCACCCGGGAAAGGAAGATCAACTCGTCCCTGCAGCTCCCAGACCGCGTGCTGAACTTCCTCAAGGACCACTTCCTGATGGATGGGCAGGTCCGCAGCCACCTGCTGCTGCTGCAGCCACAGGCCCGCTACCAGCGTGTGGCCGTGCACCGTGTCCCCGGCCTGCACCACTCCTACGATGTCCTCTTCCTGGGCACCAGTGAGTGGCTGCAGTGGCAGGCTTGGGGGAAGGGGCGTGCTTGGTGGGTCCTGGCCCTCGGGCTCCCCCCAGGGCCTGAGTCCTGTCCACGTTCCAGGTGATGGCCGGCTGCACAAGGCCGTGGCCGTGGGCCCCAGGGTGTACATCATCGAGGAGCTCCAGATCTTCTCGCCAGGACAGCATGTGCAGAACCTGCTGCTGGACACTCACAGGGTGAGCAGGTGAAGGGGGCGTCCATGTGTTTGGGGGGGTGCCCCTCCATCATCACCAGGCAACCCCCACCCAGCGGTTTCTCCCTGGCCCCAGCAAGATGGGAGGATACTGGAGCCAGGCACGGGCTATCAGAAAGTGGGGGTGCTGGGACCATGATGGAGGCCCCTTGGGGGTGGCAGTGGGTGGCACGAGAGCCAGCTGTGGCCGTGGGCAGTGGCCCTGGCTGCCCATGCTGCCTCTCACTCATCCCCGTGGCTGGCTGTGCAGGGGCTTCTGTACGCTGCCTCGCAGTCGGGCATAGTCCAGGTGCCCGTGGCCAACTGCAGCCTGTACCAGAGCTGCGGGGACTGCCTCCTCGCCCGGGACCCCTACTGCGCCTGGAGCGGCTCCAGCTGCAAGCACGTCAGCCTCTACCAGCCCGAGCTGGCCTCCAGGTGAGCTCCTTGCCAGGCCCTCTGCAGGGCCATTACGTGGCCTCATTTACAGCCACCGTCTCAGCATAACTGATAAGTAGATCCTCTGCTTACTGTCAGAAGTGTTGAGGTTCAGACAGTAAATTAGATGTTCGCCTTAGCTACCTGTAAAGTGGGAACAAGCTTTGTGTTAAAGATGAAATGTCACAGCTTTGAAGAGCCTCGCTGGAGAACGTGGATTGGCACGGGAACACGTTTTAGTAACAACAGGACTACAGAATGGTCCATTAACAAACCTGTTAAAAATTGGTTTCAGAATAACCTATATGGATTATAAAATGTTCATTTAGAAAATAGGGATGAGCACAGACAAAACTACCTCATCCTACCACCTAGAGAGAATCACAGTGAGATTTTTGACATGTTATCCTCCTTGATTTTTCTGCGTAAGTGTAAAATAAACAGAAATCCCTATATTTTAGACAAAGATGGGATCTGTCCCATTTGTACTACTCTTGGTTCACACATGGATACATCTGGTGTTAGTCTTGTATTTTAAGAAGCCAAGTGTGAGTACTGGAGGGACCTACCGAGGTTAACTGTCAACGATTGCCGGCTGGTGGGCTGTGGGTGATTTTTTTTAGTGTTGTCTGTTTCCTGAGTGCATTGAGTTATCCTTCCTTATTAGTTTTTTTATTAAACAAATCTATGCATGTGCACTAATAAAAAAAAAAAGGGGGCCGGGCGCGGTGGCTCACGCCTGTAATCCTAGCTCTCTGGGAGGCCGAGGCGGGCGGATTGCTCGAGGTCAGGAGTTCGAAACCAGCCTGAGCAAGAGCGAGACCCCGTCTCTACTATAAAATAGAAGGAAATTAATTGGCCAACTAATATATATACAAAAAATTAGCCGGGCATGGTGGCTCATGCCTGTAGTCCCAGCTACTTGGGAGGCTGAGGCAGGAGGATTGCTTGAGCCAGGAGTTTGAGGTTGCTGTGAGCTAGGCTGACGCCACGGCACTCACTCTAGCCTGGGCAACAAAGCGAGACTCTGTCTCAAAAAAAAAAAAAAAAAAAAAGGAAAAGACATACATGCATATACAGATCCAGCATCTTTCAAGACTTTTTCTGAGGGTACATACACTGTTTTTATAATTAAAGAAATTATTATAGTACTTTTTTTTTTTTTTTTTTAAGACAGGGTCTTGCTCTGTCGCCTAGGCTGGAGTGCAGTGGTATCGTCATAGCTCACAGCAACCTCAGACTCCTGGGCTCAAGCGATCTTCCTGCCTCAGCCTCCTTAGTAGCTGGGACTACAGGCCTAATAATTTTTCTTTTCTTAATAGAGACAAGGTATAACTCTGTTGCTCAGGCTGATCTTGAACTCTGGCCACAAGCAATCCTCCTGCCTCAGCCTCCCAAAGTACTAGCACAGGAATGAGCCACTGCACCAGGCCTATAGTAACTGTTATTTGAAATAATGTGTATAGACAGGGGAGACGCTGACTCAAACCCTGTGCGGGCGGGGAACCAGTGCGGGAAAATCTCTTATGTCCTGCCTTGGGCCTGTGGTCCCTGCACACCAGGTCCCTTGCTGAGGCTCAGGTCTACACTGAGGTTGAGGGATATGGGCTCACAGGGCTCCCTGGCCTACCCTGAACTCTCTCTGGTCCTCAGGCCATGGATCCAGGACATCGAGGGAGCCAATGCCAAGGACCTCTGTAACACCTCCTCGGCCAGGCCCCGGTCTTTTGTACCAAGAGGTGAGGCGCCCCCAGAGGGTAGAGGGAGAGGTGGGGGCCACCAGGCCTGCTTGGAAGGCTCCTTCCTCCAGGCTGATGGGTGCAGATGCCCTTCCTCACATCCACATCCCCAGCCCCACAGGCAGGGCCCCGGGAAGGGAGTCTCAGTCCCAGAAGCCCTCGGAGTTGCCCTCCCGGCCTAGGAGCACAAGCCCCAGGGGCGGGTGGACGCTAGCCCTCTCTACCCGTGCCTCTCCCGCCCGCAGGCGAGAAGCCCTGTGAGCACGTCCATTTCCAGCCCAACACGGTGAACACCTTGGCCTGCCCACTCCTCTCCAACCTGGCCACCCGGCTCTGGCTGCACCGAGGGGCCCCGGTCAATGCCTCGGCCTCCCGCCGCGTGCTGCCCACGGGGGAGCTGCTGCTGGTGGGCAGCCAGCAGGAGCTGGGGGAGTTCCAGTGCTGGTCGCTAGAGGAGGGCTTCCAGCAGCTGGTGGCCCGGTACTGCCCGGAGGTGGTGGACGACAGGGCGGCGGACCGATCAGACCAGGGCGGCAGCGCGCCTGTCGTTATTAACACGTCGCGCGTGAGCGCGCCGGCCGGTGGCAAGGCCAGCTGGAGCGTGGACAAGTCCTACTGGAACGAGTTCCTGGTGATGTGCACGCTGTTCGGGCTCGCCGTAGTACTCCTCGTTTTATTCTTCCTCTACCGGCACCGGGACGGCATGAAGGTCTTCCTGAAGCCGGGGGAGTGTGCCAGTGTGCACCCCAAGACCCGCCCTGTGGCGCTGCCACCTGAGACCCGCCCCCTCAATGGCATAGGCCCCCCTAGCACCCCGCTGGACCACCGAGGCTACCAGGCCCTGTCAGATAGCCCCCCAGGGCCCCGGGTCTTCACTGAGTCAGAGAAGAGGCCACTCAGCATCCAGGACAGCTTCGTGGAGGTGTCCCCAGTGTGCCCCCGACCCCGGGTCCGCCTGGGCTCCGAGATCCGTGACTCCGTGGTGTGAGTGCTAACAGAGGAGGCTGCCCTGGCGTCCGGGGCGTGAGTGCTCAGAAGGGTCAGCTGCGCCCACTCTGCTCTGTGTGGAACACAGCCAGGGTGCCGGCTGGCCTGCTGCTCCTCAGCCAAGTCGTGCGTCCCCTCCAGCCCAGGCTGCTGTGGCCAAAGGTCCTGGCTGAAGATGGCGCCTGCCTCTGTGGGCGGAACAGTGGTCCTTATGTAAACTGAGCCCTTTGTTTAAAAACAACTCAAAATGTGAAACTTCAGTGAGACGGAAGAAAGACAACACGGCATGCCACACACATGGCCACTCCAGTCCTTGGCCGCCCAGCCTCGTGGCCTCCTGGGGGCACTGGGGACTGGTCCAAGGTGGCAGTTTAAGACAGAATTGGAAACTCTTCACAACTGTCCTCCCCCACCTTCCACCCTATCTATCCTGCTGTCACAGGCTGCCGTTCTAACTGCAGGGCCGGGCCAGCTCTGGCCTCACCAGCCTGCTGAGGACTTAGGCATTGCAGCCATCGTCCCACCACCTCAGGGACCAGGGGGCTAGTCTGGCACTGCAGCCTGCACCAGGCCCTGGCTAGGACCAAACTCCTGGACCTTTCCAGCCTGTATCAGGCTGTGGCCACATGGGCTAGAAGGCAGCGTGAGCCCAGGAGAGAGCTGGCAACGTACACCTTCCCCTCAGGATTCAAGGAAGAGCCTGCCGCCTGCCTTCCTCCACCCCAGCCGAGAACCTGCGTCCCTTCCCGCCACGTCCACCCCAGCCCAATCTTTGAACTCAGACGCAGGGAATTCACTGCACCCTTCTCCCCAGGTGACCCCTCACCTGCCTCCACTAAGGGATATCAACACTGCCTGGCACAGGGGACCTGAATTTATGTGGGTTTTATATATTTTTTAATAAGATGCACTTTACCTTTGTTTTTTTAATAAAATCTGAAGAATTATTGTTTAACCATGGCCTTTCCTCTTATAGGACTGTTGCCCTTTGAGGTTGGTCTACTTCTCTGAGTTCTGGGGGGTTCTGAGCCCTGTCTTTGCAGGGGCTAGTGAGCCAGAGTCAGCCCCACCTGGGTGACGGTGTCTCTAGGGGAGCGTGGTTCGCGGAGGAGTCTAACCCGCTGACAGGCAGGGCAGGGGATTCATTCCGTTCAGCAGGGGTAGAGACGTGGGATAGGATGGGGGCCTTTTTTTTAAAAAAAAAAAAAAAATGCTTTTTAAAACTTGTAGTTTTTCAAGTGATCATGCGGTAGAATTTTTTCTTTTGGTGTACAGTTCTTGAAATTTTAACACATGTAGAAATTTGTGCCACCACCACAGTCAGGATGCAGGAACATTCCACCCCTCCTGCTGCCCCATTCTGCTCATACCTGCACACACGGGTGGCTGGGTAGGGGTACGGTTGGCTTCCCACTGGCCCCTTCTCTTTTTTTTTTTTGAGACAGAGTCTCACTCTGTTGCCAGGGCTAGAGTGCCGTAGCGTCAGCCTGGCTCACAGCAACCTCCAACTCCTGGCCTCAAGCAATCCTGCTGCCTCAGCCTCCCGAGTAGCTGGGACTACAGGCATGCTCCACCATGCCCGGCTAATTTTTTCTATATATATCAGTTGGCCAATTAATTTCTTTCTATTTATAGTAGAGACGGGGTCTCGCTCTTGCTCGGGCTGGTCTTGAACTCCTGATCTTGAGTGATCCGCCCGCCTCGGCCTCCCAGAGTGTTAGGATTACAGGCGTGAGCCACCGCACCGCGCCCGACCTGGCCCCTTCTTTAGATGTCACTTAATCCTCGTATGATCTGAGGCTCCTAGAAGTCCAGTCCTTCCTCATTCCAGCATTTCTAGTGTCACACACAGGTTCAAAACTTCTAAATCTTTATTATTGATTAGTAGAAACAAACAGCGATGCCAATGGCTGACAGAAGGGGAGAGGCCCTGACATGGAGGGCCTGCCCCTGCCTGGGGCGAGTCTGCGCAGTGCCACCTCCAGGCTGGGCCAGCTGGACTGGCCCTGGCAACACAGGCACGACCTCGGCCACAGCTCAGGCCACAGCTCAGCGGCGGAAAGGTTCTTGGACGACGGGGCCTGGGACACACACTGGGGCTGCTGTCACAGGACAATCTTAAAGGAGCTGAACAGGGGAAGAGTGGGTTAGGTTTTCTACTGGAAGAGGAAGGTGGGGACTAAACCCAAATGTATGCCCCCCTCCCCTTCTTTGGAATAGGCTGTATCCCATGTGTGACAGTCCCCTCTGGAAGAAAAGCTACCTGAGACATGCAGAGGAAGCTGGGGCTTTCTCCCACCCTGCTACTGCTTCCTGTAATAACATCCCAAACCTAGATACAGCCCATGGGGACTACTGTCATACCTGGCAAAGTCCGGTGAACGGGAGATGACGTGCTGGAACTCGGAGAGATTGATGGTCCCGTCCCTATCGATGTCGGACTCCTCCAGGATCTGGGAAAGGGAGAGCTTCAGGCCAGAGCCCCACCCCTTCCCTCCCGCTCCCAGGTGCAGCTGCTCACGTTGTCGATGAGCTGCTTCATCTCTGACACGCTGAGCCGAGTGTCCTCGCCCTCCCCGGTGAGGCGGTTCACCAGCCGGCTCAGGTCTTCTCTGTTCAAGGTGCCGTCATCATCAAAGTCTAGAGGGCAGACACAGGAAGCCAAAAAGAACGTGACCAGATGGGGCTCCAAGGTTCCACAAATGGTGCCATTTCCTGAGCAGGGACACCATAAAGTCCCTGCAGGAGGGGGCAGCGCTCCACAGGCTCCTCCCGGTCCTTACCGAAGATGCGGAAGGCATAGTGGGACTTGATGTCAGGGGTTGCTGTGTCACTGAACACACTGAGGAGGTCCAGGAAGTCCTCGAAGCTCAGACTGTCTCTAGTTGGGGACGTGGAGAAGACCTTGCAGATTCGCTCCTTGAAGGGGTTGGCCTAGGTGAGAGAACCTTCTGTGAACACCGCAGGACGTGGCCCAGGCCACACACTTGAGGAAGCAGGTCACAGTGCCAGTGCCATGGAGCTCAGGCTTATGGGGGGGAACGATCAGTGCTTTGGTGCCAACATGGAGTGCTGTGCGGACACAGGAAGGCAAACTGACTCAGCTGGGAGGGGACAAGGAGGGCCTCCTGGGAGTCAGGTTATATACAACATTAGTGGGGGCAGAGAGGGAAAGAGAAGGCATCCTAAGCAAAGAGAACAAGATGGGCTGGTTATTTTAAAACACAAACATTGAACAACTATTGTGGTACAGGCACGGGGCCAGGCCCTTTGTGCAGATATTTTCACAGCAGCCCTATGGGGTAGCAAGCAGCCTCCGCAGTAGGGTTTCTCAAACCTTAATAAGGTAACTCAACTTCTCTTAAATAAAACTTCTTTGAATCTCCAAGAACATGTCCTAAAGTCCCAGTTTGAGAACCACTGTTCTAGATAATTCTGCTGGGTGATTTTGGTAAAGCCCTTGCCCCCAGGAAATTAGGGCTAGACAGAAAAAAAGACCAGAAAGTGGACCAGTGATCCCATGATCTCAAAGACAGAAGCAGGAAGTCAGTAGCAGGGCTGTGTGTGGAGGGGGCGAAGGGCTTGCACCTTGAGCTCTGGAAGACTGAGGATCTGCTCGAAGGACACTTGTGCCCGCAGTGACTCCTCCACACTCCGATGCTCCTGGGGAAGCAGCTCACAAAACCGCTTGTGGGCTCTGGCAGAGAGGGAACGTGGCGCTCTCAAGCAGTCAGTCTCCCTGTGCGTGTCACATCCCCACTCCTTGCCTTATTTTTTATTTTATTTTTATTTATTTATTTATTTTTTAGACAGAGTCTCACTTTGTTGCCCAGGCTAGAGTGAGTGCCGTGGCGTCAGCCTAGCTCACAACAACCTCAAACTCCTGGGCTCAAGCGATCCTACTGCCTCAGCCTCCTGAGTAATTTTTTGTATATATATTTTTTAGCTGGCCAATTAATTTCTATTTTTAGTAGAGGCCGGGTCTCACTCTTGCTCAGGCTGGTTTCGAACTCCTGACCTCCAGCAATCTGCCCGTCTCGGCCTCCCAGAGTGCTAGGATTACAGGCGTGAGCCACCACACCCGACCACCACTCCTTGCCTTACTACCCATCATAAACTGGGTAAGGAGCTAAGCCACATACACAGAACTTTGGAGTCATCAAACAACAGTAAGCCAAAGGGAGGTACGTCACAGCCAGTACAGGCTGGAAGTCCACTCTTGCAATAAGTATTTACTGAGGGCCTGCTATGTGCTGGGCACTGACTCTAGGGATCCTGGAAGCGTGAAAACGTTGGGGAAGGAGCCAGAAGCTGGCCCTGTAAAACAGTGAGAAAAGAGCAAAACCAAAAATCTCATTCTCATTTTCACTCCAAGCATCTCCTGCTCCTCAAAGCCAACCTCTCTTGAGCAGCCACCCTAAAGTGTCCTCCTCCTCAGACCTCACCTCCTTCCCACTGAGATTATCTCTCCAAGGGAAGCCCAGGACTCTGGGCTCACTCAAGTGCCCCAGCCTGCAAAAAGCTGGCCCACGGGGTTCCAGCTCAAGTTCTCCAAACCTGTTTCACTGTCTTATACCCAACTCCTGAAGATTAAATCAGGGAACGGAGGCAACCCCTTAGCACAGTCTCTGGCGCACGGTAAGTGCTCAGTAAGCGTTAACGGTTACTGTATTACTCAGGTAAAGTTGGCAGAAGGAGCCAGATTCCCCAAGCCTCCTGCGGTTTTGCCCCTGGGCAAAGCCGGACTGCGGCAGGAAGTTCCGTGGTGCCCGGGCACGGGAAGCGCGGGGTCAAAGAGCGCCCGACTTTTCCTGAAGCTCCGCGGTGCAAAGCTGGGCCCGGCCTCCGGTTCTGCTTCCGCAGCACACCCGGGGCAGCCCCTGCCCTCCCTCGCGGCGGCGGCGGGCTCGGACTGCCCATCCGTGGGACAGCGCCCCGGGAGCCTTCCCTAGGGGGTCCCGCGGTCGGAGGTGGGGCTCGAGGCAGCACTTACAGGAGGATCTCCTGCTTGGTCAGGAACGTCAAGTCCTGGAAAGCAAAGCCAGAAGGGGGTTCAGGGGCCCGCGTGAGGGCCGCGGCCGCCCCCGCCGCTCCGGGGCCCCGCTTCCGGGCGCAGGCCCGCACGCGAGCTGCCTGGGGGCCGGCGTCCCGCGCACCTGGTACTCGGCCAGCAGCTCCTTGGACAGGCGACTGCCCGAGCCCCCCATCGCCGCGCCGCGCGCACAGCTCCGCCAACTCGCCTCGGGACGCCCGCAACTTTCCCACTTCCGCCCTCGGGCCTCGTCTCCGCCCCGTCCCCGCGGCAACCGCTCCTGGGGCCGCCGCCCCCGGGCCCGCCCGGTCCTTAAAGCGCCCAGGCGCTCTCAGCGGGTTTCGCCGGCTCCCGGAGGTCCCAAGGAGCCGGAGGCGGGGCCCGGGGCGGGGCCGGACGCTCCGGGGCGGAGCCCAGGCCTCACGGCCCCGCCTCGGGGTGGGCGGGGCGGGCCACGCCGCGTGCGTGCGTGCAGGCTGCGCATGCGCTCGAGCCGTCGTGACCTCGCTATGGCCCCGGTAGTGGCTGCGGGAAAGTCGCGCGGTGCATCCGCTTCGCTTGCAGTAGGTGGTGGCGGCGACATCCCTGGGCGGGGTCCCGTAAGGAGCTTCTGGGAAGTCCCTGATGCCAGGGTTTCTGGGAAAACTCGAGACTCGCTGAGCGGCTGGGGGCGGTCGGCTGCCCCTCTGCCTAGCGGGGGCTTTGCTAGACATTATCACCCGGCACTCGCCGCACATTTTGCAGCCCCCATGCCACCTCCTCCAGAAGTAACTGTAACCTTGCTGCCTCCTTAAGCCGTTTGCTGAGGACCCGCTGGATGTCAAGCGCTGTGCATAGTTATCTTCGATTCTTGCAACCGTCCAGGCAAGGTAGGTTCCTATTTTACAAAGGTGGAAATACATAAGTCCAGAGGTTTTAGTGACTTGTCCGGGCTCAGGCATTTAGAAAGCAGTCTGTCCAGTCCAAAACACTTTTCAAGACTACCCACTGCTGTTTTCACCATTCCAGGTGACCTTTTACCCCACCGCATCTCCAAACTGCGTGCTCCAGGCTGTAGGGACCAAGGCTGACCTATTTGCTCTTGTCCCCTCTTAACCTGTAGGACGATGCGTGGCACATAGTAGGCTCTCAATAAATATTTATCTGATGCATGATGAATAAATGAACCTATACTACTCCAAAAGGTGAGGATTTCAAGCTATTGGGAGGAGGAGGAAGTGGAAGTGGGATTAATTATTAGTCCTTCCAATTCATTCTATTTGCTGATCTTTGTAAAGTCTAAATCTGAGTATGTCAGTCTCAGTTTAAAACCATTAAATCCTTTAAAACCCAAATCCTGGCACTCTGATTGGACTTCCTTCTCTCTCTGCCCTCTCCTGTTGGCTCTCTGTGTTTGGGCCACTATGGGCTCTCCGTTCCTCTTCCATCTTATCCTCAGGGAAGGCTTTCCTACTCCTTAGACTAGATTAGGAATCTACTTTGCACTCTAAGAGTACCCAGCGCCTCTCCTTGACAGCATATATCTAGTAAAAGTCACTGTATTAACATATGGGTTCCACCACTGTAGAAATAGTCTGCTCCATGAAGTGGAGGCTGCAGAGCTATGCTACACAAAAACAGTTAAGGCAACTGGGGTGTAGGCCCATCGCATCCTGATCATTTTTCTCTTGACAGTAGGCTCTTTCTGGCAAAGAAGGGGTTGGTCTTCTGTTAGCAAAAGGGTAGGCAAAGCAGGCTGTCACTATGTCTCCAGTATTAGACTGAGGAGAGGAAGTGCTGGCTAGCCAAGCTCAATACCTGGACTGTATGGTAATCAGTATCTCTTCATAATGAAGATAGGGGAATTGGCTTTCTGCCTTGGTAACCAGCAGTCATCTACATCTCCCAGCCACCTCACTTGGCTCTGAACCCTTCTTCACTGAACAACTTTATGATTTTCATTTTGCTTCCTGGGAGATTTTGTATAGAGGCGGGTCTATACTGACTTACCAACAAGAACATTTTATGACATTTGGCAGGTTTCTCATTGTAAAGTATTAAATAGATGGTCTGAATCATCTAGTAGTTCCTGCTGAACCGTAGCATCTTGTCCTTCCTGTACCCGATCAACTCTTGATACAGTGATAAAACTGAGTTGCAAATATACTTTTAAAAATATCTTCTAGACTGGGTACGGTGGCTCACGCCTGTAATCCTAGCACTCCAGGAGGCTGAGGTGGGAGGATCACTCAAGGTGAGGAGTTTGAAACCAGCCTGTGCAAGAGCAAGGCCCCGTCTCTAGTAAAAATAGAAAGAAATTAATTAGCCAACTAAAAATATATAGAAAAAATTAACTGGGCATGGTGGCACATGCCTGTAGTCCCAACTACTCAGGAGGCCTAGGCAGGAGGATTGCTTGAGCCCAGGAGTTTGAGGCTGCTGTGAGCTAGGCTGACGCCATGGCACTCTAGCCTGGGCAACAGAGTGAGACTCTGTCTCAAAAAAAAAACAAACAAAAAAAACTTCTAGTACTGCTTGTAAAATTATTTTGTTTTGCTTCTTTAATAAATTCTTGAAAGGTTTTTTTATTGGTAACATTTTTGTCAGTGTACCAACTCGTGGATTTATGGATTCATTTTATTTTTTGTTTGTTTTGTTTTTTTGAGGCAGAGTCTCCTTCTGTCACCCCTGGCTAGAGTGCAGTGGCATCAACATAGCTCACAGCAACCTCCAACTCCTGGGCTCAAGTGATCCTCCTGCCTCAGCCTCCTGAGTAGCTGGAACTACAGGCTCATGCCACCATGCTTGGTTAATTTTTTTCTATTTTTAGTAGTGATGGGTTCTTGCTCTTGCTCAGGGTGGTCTCAAACTCCTGACCTCAAGAGATCCTCATGCCTTGGCCTACCAGAGTACTAGGATTACAGGCATGAGCCACCACGCCTGGCTTATCTTTACTCATATTTTCAACATTTTGGTGTCATCTTGGTCCTGAGCCCTTGGTCCTGGCCCCTGGCTTTAAATGTTGCTGTTGACTTGCACATAGTATCTAACCCAGACTTCATCCTGGACCTCAGGCCTAACTTTCCAGCTGCCTATACCACTTCTCTTCTTGGATGCTCAGCTGTATCTCAAAGTCAATAAGCAAAATTGAACTCTTGATTCCCTCTTCTAGTCAACCTATTCTAAGCCCTCCTCCCCAGCTTCCCCATCTCCGTAAACACCGCCACAATCTACCCAGTTCCTGGAGCCAAGCATTCCCAGTTCTCTCTCCTTTAATGCCCGTAGCCAACACGTCAGCAGGCCCTGTTGGCTTGGCCTCCAAAATGTGACCTAAATCCCCTGCTCCTCTCTACCTCTATTGCCATTTCTGCCACTCAGTCATCCCCATCTCTCTTACTTGGCCACCAGAATGGACGCCTGAATGGTCTCTCTGCTTCCCCTTTGCTTCCCACAACCCATTTTCCACACAGCAGTTAGGAAAAGGTTTATAAAATAGTAGATGATTCTTCTGCTTAGAACCTGCCAATGATGTCTTATTCCATTTGGAATAAAATCCAAGCTCATGACCATGATGACTGAGGGCCTGCAGCCCACCTGGCCCCTGTCTTCCTCTCCAGCCTGGTCTTGGATCACCCCCCCTTGTCTCCTGTGCTCTAGCAACACTGACCTCCTTTCCTTGAACAGGCAAAGCACCTGTATGACCCAGGGCCTTGGACTTGCAGTTCTCTCTGCCTGGAATACACTTTCTCAGCTCTCCATTGCTGCATTCTTCTCCTTCTTCATGTCATAGCTCAGCTGTCATCTCAGAGAGCCCTGCCTGACCCTGTTATTAAAGTAGTATACGTGGATGCTACCTTTTATTGACCCCGTATTGTATCACTTGGTTATTTCCCACAGAGCGCTATCACCCTCAGCCCTTAACCTGTTTTTTTTTTTGTTTTATTTTTCTTTTTGAGACAGAGTCTCGCTTTGTTGCCCAGGCTAGAGTGAGTGCCGTGCGTCAGCCTAGCTCACAGCCAACCTCAAATCCTGCTTGGTCAAGCAATCCTGCTGCCTCAGCCTCGCCGAGTAGCTGGGACTGCAGGCACGGTGCCACCATGCCCGGCTAAGTTTTCTCGTATATATATTATTGGCCAATTAATTTCTGTCTATTTATAGTAGAGACGGGGTCTCACTCTTGCTCAGGCTGGTTTCGAACTCCTGACCTCGAGCGATCCGCCCGCCTCAGCCTCCCAGAGTGCTAGGATTACAGGCATGAGCCACCGCGCCCGGCCAACCTATTTGTTCTTGTTTACGGTCTGACTCTACCACAAGAATGTAACTTCCATAAGGATAGGGTCCTTGTTGGCCTTCATTGCCATTATGTCCTCATTGCCTTGTACACAGTAGTTACTTCAGAAATCCTTGGGTTTTGTAGCTCAGCTGAATATGGAGCAGGGTATACAGAAGAGGTGTCCCCAGAACATCAGGATGGGCATGAGGTGGGCACTGACCCTGAATGAATGAATGCGAGAGTAAGTGAATACTGTCTTACATATAGCTCAGGTAAATAGCAAATTGTTGAATTTGCTATTTACCTAAGTCCTTTTTGAGATTCTGAAGTCCTTTATGAGATTCACTTCAAAAAAATTTTTAAGGCCAGGTGCAGTACCTCACACTTGTAATCCGAGCACTTTGGGAGGCCAAACAGGAGGATTGCTTGAGGTCAGGAGTTCAAGACCAGCCCGAGAAAGATTTAGACCCCGTGTCTACTAAAAATACAAAAATTTGGCCAGGTATGGCAGCCCAACCATGTATTCCTAACTACCTTAGAGGCTGAGGCAAGAGAATCGCTTAGAGCCCAGGAGTTGGATGTTGCATGAGCTACAATGACACCACTGCACTTTACCTAAGGTGACAGAGTAAGACTGTGTCTCAACAAAAACAAACAAGTCAACTGAACATCCCTCCTCACAATCCCCCACCCCTTCATTTGGAAGAAAAAATATTTATAAAAGGTCTAATGTGTTTTTATTTTCCTTTTATTTTAAAGGAAAATAAAAACATGTGATGTGAGGCCGGGCGCGGTGGCTCACGCCTGTAATCCTAGCACTCTGGGAGGCTGAGGCGGATTGATTGCTCGAGGTCGGGAGTTCGAAACCAGCCTGAGCAAGAGCAAGACCCCATCTCTACTATAAATAGAAAGAAATTAATTAGCCAACTAATATATACAGAAAAAATTAGCCGGGCATGGTGGCGCATGCCTGTAGTCCCAGCTACTCGGGAGGCTGAGGCAGCAGGATTGCTTGAGCCCAAGAGTTTGAGGTTACTGTGAGCTAGGCTGACGCCACGGCACTCACTCTAGACTGGGGAACAAAGTGAGACTCTCAAAAAAAAAAGTTTACTCAACCAGTATTTATAAATTTTACAAAGAAAAAAAAATAGCTGATAAATATTTTTAATTCAGCAAAAACATACGGAATTCTGTGTTTCATAAATATTTTTACCAAAGGCATATATACAAAAAGTAAAGGGTTATTTGAAAATAAAACTCTGTGGAAGCAGGTTACTATCATGTGTTTTTTATCTCTTACAATTGTTTAAGGTCAGCTGCATGGCTCTTCCACAACATTCGAATGAAACTTCCTATTTGCTTCCTCCAAACAGCAAGGACTGGGAAGGGCAAGGCATTCCTGACTTTGTCTATGGGCAGAAGGATCTCATGGTGGAAGGGATTCAGTGGCCGGGGAAAGCACCCGGCATCCTGGACACTCTGCCGCTGTCTCGCTTTGACTCTGCACTCTGCTCTGCCTGGAGGCAGCGCGTAGAGCTGGGGCTGTTCCGCTACCGCCTAGGGGACCTGCAGACCCGCACCC